GCACAACTCCATCTTATCCATATCGCACCATTCCATCTTATCTTTATATCACACCACTTCATCTTATCTCCATGTCATACCACACTTGCAAAATATCTTGTATTGAATGATGCGTTAGTCAATACGATGCCTGTATATTATTAATTCGTTATTAGCTCATCACTTACACCAAAACACAACCTACACATCACCACGAAACATCCCCACCTTTCATCCCCTCCACGTACTCGTATTATCTTTTTTATTAATCCTAAATTTTCTTCAAGAAGTCTTTCACCATCCCTCTCAGACTTTATTTTTCTCTCTAACAACTTCCCACTTTAGCCCCTACCACGTCCCCACTTTAGCCCCTATCACGTCCCCACTTTAGCCCCTACCACGTCCCCACTTTAGCCCCTATCACGTCCCCACTTTAGCACCTACCACGTCCCCACTTTAGCCTCTACCACGTCCCCACTTTAGCCTCTACCACGTCCCCACTTTAGCCCCTACCACGTCCCCACTTTAGCCTCTACCACGTCCCCACTTTAGCCTCTACCACGTCCCCACTTTAGCCTCTACCACGTCCCCACTTTAGCCTCTACCACGTCCCCACTTTAGCCTCTACCACGTCCCCACTTTAGCCTCTACCACGTCCCCACTTTAGCCTCTACCACGTCCCCACTTTAGCCTCTACCACGTCCCCACTTTAGCCTCTACCACGTCCCCACTTTAGCCTCTACCACGTCCCCACTTTAGCCTCTACCACGTCCCCACTTTAGCCTCTACCACGTCCCCACTNGCATTTCAGACACCTAAGGAAGGAATACAAAATTCTTTCAACATTTGAAGATTACGATATTATACATAATATATTATTATTATCATTATTTTTAATGTATATTAGAATATTATTATATTAATAATAATATAAAGAAATATTAAAATCATATACAATATTACATTCAAGCATCATTCTCACCTGCGACGACCATAAGCCGTTGCTGCTTGCACCTCCCCTAGGGGCGCCGCCCCCCACAAGGGACGGCTCCCCCAGCGCCTGCAGCTCAGACTCGTCCAGGTCCCAGAAGTCATCGTCCCCCCTGCCCACATGTCCCACTCACCCGTGTTGGGCCCACATGTCCCACTCACCCGTGTTGGGCCCAGTTTTCCTGACGGTGAGCAGCACGGCGTCCTCCCGGCAGTCGCACACCACGCGGTTGCTGTCCCCAGGGGCCCCACCGCCCCCCGGGGCCCCACTGCCCCCCTGGCGCGTCAGGACATGGGAATGTTAAGTAGTAATTAACTCAAGTTAACGGGTGGCTCGTTAACCATAATCAAACCTCATTATCTCATTAAACTTCTAATTTTAGCAACTGATTTTAAATATTGTGCATTTCAGACACCTAAGGAAGGAATACAAAATTCTTTCAACATTTGAAGATTAAAATATTATACATATTATATTATTATTTTTTAATGTATATTAGAATATTATTATATTAATAATAATATAAAGAAATATTAAAATCATATACAATATTACATTCAAGCATCATTCCTGTCTCTTATACACATCTAGATGTGTATAAGAGACAGGTACTGGGTTATATTTTTTATTATATATTGTGATGTCGGTGTGCTCACTTGTGACCTGTGCTGCCTGGGCAGGTGGTGGAGATCAGCACGGAGGACATGCTAAGCAGCAACGGCGACAGCTGCGGCAGCCTTGGCGCAGTGGGCAGCGCGACTAAGGACGCGTTACTCGACACTAGCAGCGTGGACAACCTCATGTACTTCGTGCACTACCAGGGCTGGAACTCCCGCTATGATGAGTGGATCAGACGCAACCGCATCGCTAAGAACACCAGCTATTGTCCCGTCAGTAACGCCACTTCCAATAACGTCGCTAATAAACTCAAGAATAATCTTCCCAACTCTTCACCTAGCAATGCTAAAAAAGAAATGGTGAGTAAAGTGTGTAGTAATTACGCTCACTATTGGGTCATCTTTATTCACTGATATCTTTTTTCTCGTATGTAATGTAATTTTAATATCTCTTAAATTTAATCCCTTGTATTAATCAAGGGAAGAATTATGTAGTACTATACATAAATATGTGTCGAGTACAAAACTTCTGGTCTGCAAACCTTCATATCTAAACAACTCTTAGTNACAGACAGACAGACAGACAGACAGACAGACAGACAGACAGACAGACAGACAGACAGACAGACAAACAAGAAGTGAAGTTAAAGAGAAGTGTTGTAAAAAATAGAAACGTTTTCAAAAAAAAACTTTTTTTAAGTTAAAAATAATTTTAGAGTATTTAACGTTTTCATATTCCCAGCGTTTTGTTGTTCAGTATGTTGAGATATGTTTAAATTCCAGCAGCCAAAGTATCAACAAGTTACAAGACTCACTTGGCTTTTAGTTATGACTCACTTTTTCAAACTCTCAACACACAGAAAAATAACAGCAAAAATGAAGTTATTGTCTTAAAGAGCATAGTATGAACGTCATTAAATATGAATGCCTTCTTTAAAACCAATGCATTATTTATTTCAGTTACAATACTACAATATGAAAATTATATCATTATTAAACACATTAAATTGAAGATAAAGCTAAATATACAGTTTATACAGGGCAGCCATGAAGTGGCCAATTAACACATGTTCATTTCTGAATAATCTGACGAAAAAAAAAACTTGCTCAAAAATTTAGATCAACTCAAAAATTGCAATAATAAATTTGTTACGTAAGAAGTTGGTCACTTTCTTGAATTATATTATTTTTATTTGTATTGAATTATAATATAGAAACTAAGCAAGCTCGTATTAATAATAAGATATTTGTTTCTTTAACCAAAATTGAAGATTTTTTGTAAGGACACTAACCGCCGGCCGGTCCCCCTCTGCGGGGACCTCCTGCCCCCCGCTGAGTGGATGTAAGGACACTAACCGCCGGCCGGTCCCCCTCTGCGGGGACCTCCTGCCCCCCGCTGAGTGGATGCCGCCCCCCGCTGAGTGGATGCCGTCCCCCGCTGAGTGGATGCCGCCCCCCGCTGAGTGGATGCCGCCCCCCGCTGAGTAGTAGCCGCCCCCCGCTGAGCCCCAGCAGCGCCCCGCTGAGCTCCTCTTTGCACAGCCCCGACCCTGGGGACAGCTGCCCCCCGTGGGGCTCCCGCAATTGCCGCTGCCCCCACAGCTCTCCCTCGTGGAGCAGCCACTCCCCTCGGGGCCACCCTCCCTCTTGAGGCATCCTCTCCCCTTGGGGGGGCAGTTCCCCCCCGAATAGCCCCCAGGGAGCGCACCCCCAGGACGTCGAGGACGGTGGGGTCGCAGCCCATGACGCAGGTGGTGGCTGAGTCCCCCAGCAGGGGGGCGTACGCGCGGGGGCGCAGCCCCAGGCGCACCAGCGATGGGGCCCCGACGCACTGCAACGGAGCACCGAGTTAATATAATATAACATAATATGCTAATATAATATAATATTAGATAATATAATATAATACAATATAGTGGGGCTAATGAGACGCTAGGGGGGTGTGTCTCACCGTAGGGCACGTGTCTCACCGTAGGGCACGTGTCTCACCGTAGGGCACGTGTCAGGCAGGACCTCAACGCTGAGGACATCACCAGGAAGCCACAGACACACACGACACTCAGGGAAGCCCTGGCACGACAGGAACCACGAGGACGGCGCCTTCTGCTTCAGCACCACGTCGGACCCGCACGAGGGGCACGAGCACACCTGCAGGGGGATTGTGTTCAGTGGGGGGAGCTGGGTAATTGGTTATTTCACTGCCAAAACTCGACATTTCTTCCATCTTCTTGTAAAAAAAAAGTCCAAAAAACTTACAACAGGAAGGTTCTTACTTTGTGACCCTCAGAAAAAAGGGTACTGAGTTTGTGCCCTCCTCAGCAATGGGGGACCCTACACTGCGCTCCCACAGCAATGGAGTGCCCTACACTGCGCTCCCACAGAGCTGGGGTCTCTACTCTATCCATGGGAAAGTCACACTCACCCTGGGAAGAACCGCCTGGGGAGGAGGAGGTTCAGATGGCTGCTCCTGCAGGAGGGCGGCTAGGGCGCTGTCCAGCTTCTCAGCCTGTGGGCGGCAGCGGTTAGTCATTTCAATGATATTATATGCTTCTTTAATATATTCATTCCCATTGCATAATATATAAATTAAGGTATCTACGCAATCACTAATTTTAATATTTCATTTCCATCAGTTATATAATAAATAAGTTTACAAGGTATCAAGACGAGAGGGCAAGTGGCCGCTGGGACAGAGAACGGAAGTTGGAAGGACAGAGGTGAGAAGGCCGCAGGCAAGAGGCCGGCAGGCAGGCAAGAGGCCGCAGGCAAGAGGCCGGCAGGCAAGAGGCCGGCAGGCAAGAGGCCGGCAGGCAAGAGGCCGCAGGCCATAGGGCCGCAGGCAAGAGGGCTAGAGAACCAAAGAGGAATAGAGGTGAGGGTAAAGGAAGTTCATTTGCCACAGAATGAGAGGTTGGAGGACCAGATGCCAGATTAAAAAGGGCCAGTATATCAAAGTCTCTGCCAATGAGCCAGAGGCCATAAGGCCAAGAGCCAGGATGGGGAGGCCACCTGCTGGGAGGCGGCCTGGAAGACCTCCTTGTAGCGCTGCACCTGCTCCCTCAGGACGGCATCCGCGTCCCGCCGCCCCTCGCAGATCCTGAATTTTCATCAGTAATTATTAACAATTACAAATATTTTTCCTATAAAGGTAACTTTTTTCCTGCGACAATAATGTAATATTTTAATGATATACTTCGAATCTACAAGTTTCTTTAACCAACACTCTTTCAATAACAAACAGCCTCATGTCCATGCGAGATATTATCATAAACTTTTTAGAAAAAAAATATAATATTTTTAAGAAGAATGTATAAATAGAAGGTCCCCCTACTGACGCCTTAAGATCCTCTTCAAGCCCCGCCCTGAGGTGGGGCTGGGACATCTGGAAGCCCATATCATCGTAGCCGTTGACAAGCCCCATGCCCAGCGTGCCGGGCACGAAGCGGGCATCTTGCAGCCCCACGTACGACCGCGCCTTGATCGTCTCGATGTGCTCTGCGTGCGTCGCGTCTGTGCCTGCGTACAGTAGTGATTACAGTGCCTGTGTACAGTACAGCAATTAGTGCCTGTGTACAGTAGTGGTTACAGTGCCTGTGTACAGTACAGCAATTAGTGCCTGTGTACAGCAGTGGTTACAGTGCCTGTGTACAGTAGAGTTTACAGTGCCTGCGTACAGTAGAGTTTACAGTGCCTGCGTACAGTACAGCAATTAGTGCCTGTGTACAGTAGTGGTTACAGTGCCTGCGTACAGTACAGCAATTAGTGCCTGTGTACAGTAGTGGTTACAGTGCCTGCGTACAGTACAGCAATTAGTGCCTGTGTACAGTAGTGGTTACAGTGCCTGCGTACAGTACAGCAATTAGTGCCTGTGTACNAGCTCAGTGGGTCAGCAACACCTGCCACTGAGCTCAGTGGGTCAGCAACACCTGCCACTGAGCTCAGTGTGTCCAGTTGACCCACCTGTGGTGGGCTCGTCGGCCCACTGGAAGAAGTTGCACTGCTCGTCCCGCCCTTTGCTGCACACCAGGAACTGCCGCCCCTTGTTGGGCCCCTCCTTCTGCACCGTCCGCCTGCCGGGACCAAGGTGCCTTAGTCTACCTAAGTCACGGGAGCGTTGGTATTAGTCACGGGGAGGAGGTCAGGGAAAGTCACGGGAGGTCAGTACAAGTTATGGAAGGGACACAGCAAGTCCACGGGGTAGGGTTAGTGAAAGTCAGGGAAAGGGTCTGGAAAAGTCACGGGGGAGGTCAAGACAAGTCACGGGGACCTCATGGCAAGTGTGGCGCGTGTTGGGCAAAGGGGCACAATAACAGGGATGGGGAAGATGGGTAATGGGACGGCACTAAGAATTCTCCCGAGCGTATCTCTTAAGGTACTATACTCATGATATTAGTGCCTGCGTACAGTACAGCAATTAGTGCCTGTGTACAGTAGTGGTTACAGTGCCTGCGTACAGTACAGCAATTAGTGCCTGTGTACAGTAGTGCTTACAGTGCCTGTGTACAGTACAGCATTACAGTGCCTGCGTACAGTACAGCGTTTACAGTGTGAACTTTACATTTCAGCATTTACTGTACAGACTTTATTGAGCCAACTTTACAATACATTCAACTAAGTTTCAACTTTACAGTGCAAGCTTCACTGTACAGCCTTCGTCACATGCACCCTGGGCCCCCATAGGCGGGGACAACAACTTCTTGGGAACAGGAGCCCCAAACTGATGAGGACCCTCCGGGGCCTCATTCCCCACTCCTGCCTCACCAATGCCATGCTTCTCCATGAGGGCGATGAGATCTGCCTCCGTCAGTAGCGCTGGAGGCGTCGTCTCCGAGGCCACCTTCACCAGCTCCATGGGGAACTGCATGCCCGTCTGAATGAATAAAGATATGTTAGTTGCTACAAACTAACAGTTGGATAAATATTATACTTCTCAAACTATTTAGTGAAACGGATTTTGCCACAAAACTGTGACAATGTGAGCATGTCTGTTTATGTAACATTTATTTTTCTAGTTATTTTCATTATATATTTATTAAATATATATAATTCATTTATTTAAACATATATTTATATCGGAATTAATACATAATCAATTTACTTTGTTTACGCAAAAGAAGAAGGAGACACCAATATGGCAGCCACCTAGATAAGGATAACACGAAAAAATAAACAGCAATGGTTGTGCCGAGAACCATTGACTCGGCGGATTAGCGGCGTCTAGGCCTATCGCATTTTAGGAATTCATTCACCTAGCAGCCGCCTTAGACAGATGAACTATCGTCGTGTCGGTAGTCTCGCAATTTTGTTCCGTTAAACAGCCCTTGAAAACCAATGTAACTTAAGTTTAGTTGCTAAGCCTTTTGAATCATGTACCTACTGTTCAGTATATTCATGTACGTTTCAATTTGCTTTTTTCTTGATTAGTAATTAATTTGTCAAAATTTTCATTGAGCCAGTCCATTGTTTTCGTCTTTGTATTTTGTTTTCCTGCTCTCTGGGCAGATCCACGGATTTAAGTAAATTTCACCAGCTACAAACGCTGCACGTTTTTTACCCAAGCCAAAGTGGCGTTTACACTGCCTCGGCATTGACAATGGTAGTGTGGAAAGTAGGAGGTTCCGAGTGGAAGGCATGGGCTTATCAGTCACCTGATAGTGAGGCATGGGCTTATCGGTCACCTGATAGTGAGGCAAGGGCTTATCAGTCACCTGATAGTGAGGCATGGGCTTATCGGTCACCTGATAGTGAGGCATGGGCTTATCAGTCACCTGATAGTGAGTCATGTGCTTATCAGTCACCTGATAGTGAGGCATGGGCTTATCAGTCACCTGATAGTGAGGCATGGGCTTATCAGTCACCTGATAGTGAGGCATGGGCTTATCAGTCACCTNTAAGAGACAGCATTCGTACGTAAGACTTGGCTAAAAGCGTACTATCAAAACCATCTGGCCAACTGACCAATCAGAGGCTTTGGATTTGTTTACATTCTGTGAACTTCGATGGCGGGAATCGATGCCTTTGATAGTATCGACTATCGAATGCTGTCTGTTGGTATTGCTCCTTGTTGGCCCAGAAAAAGCCGTTCCTTAATAGTTGTGAACTGTTTTTAATAAACAGCGTGAGTTGAAGAAGAAATCTGTGTACGGAGCTAAAAATTACGGTCGGCAGAGATATAAAGTACCGACTAGAAAGAATGAATGAATTGAATTTTTGAAAATTAATGAAAAATTTTTTGAAAACATGAATTGAATTTTTTTCCAATAGCACTGTTTAGCACGATCACATATTTTGATCGTGCAAATGTTGCACGATCAAGTAGTGGAGCCATCACAAGTAGAGCCATCATTCTAAGCGTGTATAATCTGCGGTGTCGGATTATTGACAAAATTCTATAAGTCAAGGTGTTGCAACTTGCTAGTAAATCAATAGTTTCCTATCGCTTCAGCAGACACTCTAAACTTTTGGGGAACTTCACTTACGACATCTCCGAGCGGGCGTACAGTTACGTTACTTATCTTCCCGCGCAAATGTTTTGATAATACCTCCTCTAGAGTTACGTCATCAAGTCAGCACTTACGCCACTCGTAAGTCGATTTTGCGTACTTACGAATTTTTGATAATACGGCCCCTGTGCTAGAGGATAGCCTTACCTCTCCACTGGGGGTGGTCGGTCTGCAGCAGGACGAGGGGCGCGAGGGGGAGGGAGGAGGGGAAGATGTTGGGGCCTTACCTCCCCACTGGGGATGGTCGGTCTGCAGCTGGACGAGGGGCGCGAGGGGAAGAGAACTGGGGAAGATGTTGGGGCCTTACCTCCCCACTGGGGATGGTCGGTCTGCAGCTGTACGAGGGGCGCGAGGGGAAGAGAGCTGGGGAAGATGTTGGTCTCTGTCCTGGGGTAGCTGATGAGGCCGCTGGTGTAGAGACGTTCCGCCACCTGCAGCGCCGCCTTCGCCGACATCCCCAGCTTGCGCGACGCCAGCTTCTCGAACTCCTGCACGCACACTCACTAATATAAATGGGTCATATTTACTCGACACACCAACTGCACGCACACTCACTAATATAAATGGGTCATATTTACTTGACACACCAACTGCACGCACACTCACTAATATAAATGAGTCCTATTAACTTGACACACCAATTACACGTGGCACGGGTACCTCGTTTAACTTTTTGCCGCTTTAAATTGAATCTGGATAACCCACATGGGGCAAAAAAAAGTACATCGCTACTTGGAGAAAGTCGTTGCGTAAGTTGCGCATTGCGAGTCACTCACGACAGTGTCCAGGAACACTCACGACAGTGTCCAGGAACACTCACGACAGTGTTCAGGAACACTCACGACAGTGTTCAGGAACACTCACGACAGTGTTCAGGAACACTCACGACAGTGTTCAGGAACACTCACGACAGTGTTCAGGAACACTCACGACAGTGTTCAGGAACACTCACGACAGTGTTCAGGAACACTCACGACAGTGTTCAGGAACACTCACGACAGTGTTCAGGAACACTCACGACAGTGTTCAGGAACACTCACGACAGTGTTCAGGAACACTCACGACAGTGTTCAGGAACACTCACGACAGTGTTCAGGAACACTCACGACAGTGTTCAGGAACACTCACGACAGTGTTCAGGAACACTCACGACAGTGTTCAGGAACACTCACGACAGTGTTCAGGAACACTCACGACAGTGTTCAGGAACACTCACGACAGTGTTCAGGAACACTCACGACAGTGTTCAGGAACACTCACGACAGTGTTCAGGAACACTCACGACAGTGTTCAGGAACACTCACGACAGTGTTCAGGAACACTCACGACAGTGTTCAGGAACACTCACGACAGTGTTCAGGAACACTCACGACAGTGTTCAGGAACACTCACGACAGTGTTCAGGAACACTCACGACAGTGTTCAGGAACACTCACGACAGTGTTCAGGAACACTCACGACAGTGTTCAGGAACACTCACGACAGTGTTCAGGAACACTCACGACAGTGTTCAGGAACACTCACGACAGTGTTCAGGAACACTCACGACAGTGTTCNACCTGCCAGGGGCGTGACATGAGTACCTGCCAGGGGCGTGACATGAGTACCTGCCAGGGGCGTGACATGAGTACCACAATAACCAGGGTAAGGCAACATGAATTCCACAACATCAGCTGATTTGGGTAAGATGAATAAACGAACATAGTAGACTATGTAGCGTACGACCATGCTTTGCGCTAACAATAATAACAAACAATAGTATAATATATAATAAAATAATTTTATGGTCAGTACAGATTCAAGGTAGTAGCGCAAAACGCGATCGAGCGTTTAGTACACTTAAACCTCAACACGATGACTCCAGTATGGCTACCACGAAATGTATTTCTCCTGGACATAGTGCTACATAATAAAATTCATAATAGTATAAAAAATGAAATAATTGTACAAGATGAAGTAATCGGAGTCAATGAGTTAACAGACCAAATTAGGGTGCTGCCAACACCTCCAATAATGGGTCAAATGGTAATGGCTGGTTGTGAGGGCAGCGAAGAGCCCCAACTGTACCTTAGATCCTCCAGGGGGCAGCGAACTGCCCCGACTGTACCTTTGATCCTCCAGGGGGCCAGCAAACAGCCCCAACTGTACCTTTGATCCTCCAGGGGGCCAGCGAACAGCCCCGACTGTACCTTTGATCCTCCAGAGGGCCAGCAAACTGCCCCGACTGTACCTTTGATCCTCCAGAAGGGCTCAGGGATGAAGTCCTGGATAGCCTTGTATCGCTGCACCACAAAGCCCAGCGTGGGGAACTGACACGACCCATAGCTGATGAGGGTGTCCACTAGGGACGCGGGGAACACCTTCTGCAGACGCAGCGTCTGGAACCTCGTGAACGCCGCCCCTGGGGAAGACATGTGGGGAGATAAGGTACTGGGGGGAACACCCCTGGGGAGCATGACCCACCTAAGGAGAGCATGACCAACCTATAGAGAGCATGACCCACCTATGGAGAGCATGACCCACCTATGGAGAGCATGACCCACCAATGGAGAGCATGACCCACCTATGGAGAGCACGACCCACCTATGGAGAGCATGACCCACCTATGCGCATCATGACCCACCTATGCGCATCATAACCCACCTATGTGCATCATAACTCACCTATGTGCATCATAACCCACCTATGTACATCATGACCCACCTATGCACATCATGACCCACCTATGCACATCATGACCCACCTATGCGCATCATAACCCACCTATGTGCATCATAACCCACCTATGTGCATCATAACCCACCTATGTGCATCATGACCCACCTATGCACATCATGACCCACCTATGCGCATCATAACCCACCTATGTGCATCATAACCCACCTATGTGCATCATGACCCACCTATGCACATCATGACCCACCTATGCACATCATAACCCACCTATGCACACCATGACCCACCTATGCGCATCATAACCCACCTATGTGCATCATAACCCACCTATGTGCATCATGACCCACCTATGTACATCATGACCCACCTATGCACATCATAACCCACCTATGCACACCATGACCCACCTATCCTGAGGTCCAGCTCGCTACGCACGTCCACGGCTTTGCTCTGCAGTTCATCAGGCGCCCCCAGCGTCGCAATGGCGCGCGTCACAGCGCCGGGCGTCATCTCCGAGAACCGCGCCCTGAGGGGGCATCAGGACGGGGAGGGTAGGACATCGGCATGAGGGGAGGGGGGTAAAACATCGGCAGGGAGGAGGGAATTGTTGTTATGAGGGTGTTGTGGGGGCATTGGGAGGAGGCCTTAAGGCCCTTTTCCACTATGGGACAGATTCGGAAGGTTTGAGACTGGCCTGAGACCTATAAACCTCGTGGCTGGGCCTCAAAACTGGCCTACGGGTTTCCACTACGTTTCATCAAGGCTACCTGACTGAGTTCCATCTGGGCTGCTGCTCCGCCGCACGCGACATTTCAGAGCCTATATTGGAGCGACAGCAAAACACAACCTGCTGGGACGGAAGTCACAGCGACACTCCCGCAATCAGCGACTCGCTCATAGTCAAGGATTGAACAGGGATTGAATCCCCGTTGCGCCAGTCTTGATGGGCCAGACTGCCTCAGTCTGGACTGAAAAAGCCAGTTTTTCAGGCGTCAGTCTCGCAGTCAGTCATAGATAGTAGAAAAGGGCCTTTATGGGTATGTTGAGAGGGCACTGGGGAGGGGGTGAGTGGGTTACAGGGGTGCCAGCTGTATTAGTACTGTTTCTAGTACATAACTGTAGGAAATACCGGTACTATAAACTGTGTAAGAAGTAAGTACATCTAACACAAGTAACAAGTAACTACATGTAACACAAGTAACCACATGTAACACAAGTAACTACAAGTAACAAGTAACTAATAACTAACCTGAGCACAGTTATGTTAGGCTTGACTGCACGGCACACAGAGATGATCTCGAAGCCAATGTTCTCGCCCTCTCTGTCGCAGTCCGTCCACACCACCAGCTTGCTCGCCCCCCGCACCTCCCGCTCCAGGGTCCTCTGTGGGGGAGGGGGGCTTAGAGAGGGTATAGGCTTAGAGAGGGGCTGGGCTCAGAGAGGGTCTGGGCTCAGAGAGGGTCTGGGCTTAAAGAGGGTCTGGGCTCAGAGAGGATCTAGGCTCAGAGAGGGTATAGGCTCAGAGAGGGTCTAGGCTCAGAGAGGGTCTGGGCTCAGAGAGGGTCTGGGCTCAGAGAGGGTCTAGGCTCAGAGGGTCTGGGCTCAGAAAGGGTCTAGGCTCAGAGAGGGTCTAGGCTCAGAGGGTCTAGGCTCAGAAAGGGTCTAGGCTCAGAGAGGGTCTAGGCTCAGAAAGGGTCTAAGCTCAGAGAGGGTCTAGGCTCAGAAAGGGTCTAGGCTCAGAGAGGGTCTGGGCATAGAGAGGGTCTAGGCTCAGANAATAAAATTTTTTTATGAGTATAGAAATAAAGCCACTTCAATTCCGTATCAATTCAATTTATATTTTAATAGTTCATATTGAAATTAAATCATGGTTCAAATTTATGCCATAAACATTTATAACTTTTACTATAATCAAGAAAATATTGTAAAGCACAATAAACATTTATAACTTTTACTATAATCAAGTAAATATTGTAAAGCACAATAAACATTTATAACTTTTACTATAATCAAGAAAATATTGTAAAGCACAATAAACTCACACGCGTAGCACCACCCCGGGATAGGATGTTGGCCAAGTTCTTGGCGGCGTCATTTTTCTCGGCAACATTGAGCACCTTCACCATCTTTGGTTCCTTCTGATGTGATGTTCCTTCAGTGTGATGTGTTAATGGTGATGCAGGCTCATCATCCTTGGCTGATACTCGAGAAGTGGAAATTGATTTTGCATCCAAGTGAAATCCCGGCTTGCACTTATTACTTAGATGGATTACAGAAGAAAAAAGCCTGATTTTGTGTATCCAAATGATGGATTTTTTGAGGTGGTCTATATTATGTTGAGGGAATAGGAATTTAGTGCCAATGCAGGGCCCATTTCTGGCCTTGAGTAAGTAAATGCATTGAGCTATTTTAATTGCTTGCATCTGTTGAAAATAAGAGCCAAGAATTTTTAGTGCCTTATCTTGATAATAATAAATATAATGAATAAAAATAATAATTTAATATGATTAATAAGATATTAATGCATAATGATGAGGCCTAATTATTTTACTCACTAGAAGTGATGCCTAATTATATTAAATTATTATGAGGCACAAATATCAAAAAAAGAATAATACAAAATTAAAGAAAGAATAGGTATTGATAATTGTTTCAATAAGAATTCCAAGCCTAGGTACCTAAGACACAATTTTTTTTTTTACTTTGTTGCCATTTGGATTGTAATCAATCTTCTTTAGCATTTGATATCTATCTCCCTTTCACAAACACAATGCAATCAATCATAATTACAATCACAAGCCTGATCATAATTAATTGCAATTTGCCAGAAGTTGTGCACCTTATTGGAAGAAATGGGACATTAAACTTATTAATTTCTTGGTACAACCCTTTTTTGCATGCTTTTCAAGTAAAAAAATTGACACTAATTTCATGGAATGACTTGTATATTAGTTTAAATTTCAATATTATTTAACTTTGTTATACAATCTGGAAAACAAAATCATACAAAGCTTGAAGCAGGAAGCAAGGAGTAACAATCAACGGGATAACCCATATACTTCATGGCCACTGTGACCAAGCAACATCTTCATAAATGGTTGTCAATCAAATGTCCACCGCATCAAGCCATCAACATCAAGTATTACACAGTAAAGGCAGTAAGCTGTATGTACTAATTATACCAGAAGCAGAATGTACTAAAATTTTCTAAATTGAATTTCAGGAAAATTAATCAATTCCATGGTAAGATATACTGGTAGATATTCCTCCCAAATCTGTTGTATGCTATAGGCCAATTCTGTCTTAAGTACACAAGTACAAAAATTAGTACATCTGGCAGGGAAGTGAAATTTTCAGCTTGGGTTGTGGATAGCAAGAGCATTGATATTCTGAGATGCAAGTGGTAGGTCGTGTCACGTGGATGGAGGCTGGAGGGTGGAGAGACGAGAAAAAAAAACAAGATGAAAAAAAAATAAGATGAGCCGAGAAAAAAAAAAAACAAGATGAGCCCTCCAGATTGCATTCTGGACACATACAGTACACTTGAATCGGCCGAGTTGAATCTGGCCAAATGAGCATTGACACCAGTGTGCCCCAGGCACAGGCGTGCCACAGCACACTCAACTGAGCGTGGCAGCAATCAATAGCCCACATAGGATATCTGGAACCCAAATTTCATCAGAATGTCCCCTTGCCCATTTCTAGCACATCAGCTGACCATTGGTGTGTCTATCTTGAAGCATGAGAGTCTTTAAAGAGCAGATACACTCCTTGAAAAACAGCTGAGGTCTTGCTGAGCGAGTGTTGGAATGTACCGGGACCGGATTTGCTACGCTGTCTGCCACCTTATTTTCACGGATACCAATGTGGCCTCTGATCCAGCAAAGCAATATTCACCCTGTCAAGTCACTTGACCAGCATCAACTTCTGTACCGTATTTCACAGACAATTTTGTGGTATGAGCGCCCAGAAGAGTGGGATTAAAGCTACAAAGTAAACCTTGAATCTGTCAGAATTAAGACAAGCTCTCTTTTCAGAGATTCATCCTCAGTGGCCAGTTGCATGGCCTTGTGTATTGCAAACAGTTATGCACTATGAACCAAGTGCTCTTCATCTTCAGACTTTGAGGTTTGAGCCATGAATTGTTTACTTGCGCCTACCTTGTACCTGCTCTAGTTTACTTACTTAGTAAAGTTCTAGTCAGCCTGGGGGCTAGGCTACTACTACTACTGCTACTTAATTGGTACTAGCTCTATTTCTGAGCTGGCTGTAATTATAATAACTAATGGAGTAAATATTAATGACAATGACACATGCACTTGCGCGGTAGATGCGGCTGTTGCTCAATGATCAACACAGATGCCTGTGCTTTATGATAAATGTGGCCAATGCCTGATGATAAACACTTATGCAAGAACTTTACGATCAATGTAGCCAATGCCTGATTGACACGGATGTACGCATTTTATGATTGATGTGACTGATGCCCAATGATTGATTCTGATGATTGCGCTTTGCAATCGAAGCAGCCAATGCCTGATCAACACTTACACACCCACTTTACGACAAATGTAGTCGATGCCTGACGATCGACACAGATGCACACATTTTACGATTGAGGTGGCCGAAAACCAATAATCGATTCCAACGATTGCGCTTTGCGAATGCCTGATGATATATACTTATTCACACACTTTACATACGATCGATTTGGCCGATGCCTGATGACCGACGCATTTGCTTTACAATCGATGTGACAGATGCATGATGATGAACACACTTTATGATCAATGTGGCATAACACAACATAACACAACTCATAACACTTCATAACAACACAACACTTTGTAACACAACTTAATTACACAACACATTTAATGCAACATAACATGACATGCATTATAAAACAAAACATTACAACAAAAGTTATAACACAACATATCATAACCTGTCTCTTATACACATCTAGATGTGTATAAGAGACAGCTTTTACACAGGTCTGTATAAATTCTCCCCTTTCCGATTTCTTTTGCGGAAGTCTGTATAAATTCTTCCCTTTCCGATCTCTATCGTGAAAGTCTGTATAAATGTGAAACTTACGAGCCTTCTTCTGCTTCTTGTCTTTAGCAGGAGGGACGGCAGGGGCGCCCTGGGCTTGCGCAAGCTGGTTCTTCAGCTGCAGCAGCGTAGCAACGTCTGCTGATATGTCTGCCTTGGACGCTCCTCCGGCTTTCAAAGCTCGAACTTTGTCTCCCTGTTCCAGAACATTTATAGTTGAAAAGTAGTAGTTCAAAATTATTGTAAATTAAATTTAAAAGTTTTTGACAGCAATCATAAAATATTGTTCATAAAAACAAGTCAGCTGTAAAATTGCGCATCGTTTCAAAAAAATGTGCTTCAATTTTGATAACAGAATGAACATTATCGTCAGAGCTTATTCGATTATATTTTAAGAAGCAACCGTGTAGGAAAATTTAGTGACACAGAAATACCTCTTTACATATTCACCTTTGTAAACACACCCTACCTGTTCATCAATCATCTTTTTGAGGCTTTCGATATCAACATTAACTATAGCTGGAAGAACAACGGCTGAATTCTTCTTGACTTGACATTTAGCCGCGCTGTCATCTGTGCCCTTGAATTGAAGCTGCCACTGCTGCAGTTCTTCATCGGTTATCTTCTTGATGAGAGGCTCAGGTTTTGTGACTTTGCAGCCAGAAGGCACAGCGTGAGGTAGCGCGTTGGGCAGGCGCCAATGTGTGGCATCAGGAAGGTTCATTATCTGCAGAATCTTGGCAGATGTGTCGGGCATGTATGGNACCAAGTGTGGTGCTCAAGATGTGTATAAGAGACAGGCTATACTGAACTTAACACCGACGTCAGAGTCGGTCCTACTTAAACTTCGTAGTCTGACAGACAGTAGTGGGAAATTTGCAGCAACACTTCATTACACTGTAATAAAACGCAACATCACATGTTAATGTTATAACACAACATAACATGAAAGAACACATTGTAACAACATAACATAACACATCATGATATATTAAATGCAAGAATTTCAATCTAAATGTTTCAGCAAGATCTTCTGAAGGCGTAAAGTTTGCTACTGAAGCGTCGCCAAAGATCTTGCAATATTCATCCACTCTCTGCAGACTGCACACTGCACAGTCAAGGGCCTGGGCTAGCCCTAGTATGGAATATATCTACTTGGCGAGCCGCGACTGAATTTTTCGAGCTGTGGTTTTATGGATTTGCCAGCCGTGATTCCATTTTCCGCGAGATTTCATACCTACTGAAATTATATGATATTAGAGCCGCGATATTTCAGACAAAAATAGGATTTTTCCAGAATCCAGACTAGGGCTAGCCTACAACATGAGCTCTCTACTGGCGCTCCGCTAAAATCTTTCAAATTGGCCTACGCCCTATGGGAAAACTAGAAATGATGGTTAAAAAAATGTCCAAAAATATTCAATTGGTCCATATTTGGATAAACTAATTGAATTAAGGAAAAAATTCCTACTTCCTAGCTTTTTCACTTTCATTTGGAATCAAGCAATCAATTTATTCCATTTATTTAACATAGAAGTGGCAAAGCAGAGAGTTTTTTAGATTCTCCTTCAAGTTCAATTTTCAAGTCATAGGCTACCTAGCTATGCAGGGGCCAGGGTTAAATGTTTATGGTTTGGTTTATGAGAGTAATGAGACCAGTCGACTTAGAATTTCATTTCAATCGGTCGGAAGAAACAACACTTTCTGAATAACTTTTCCCAAGTGTGAAGGTAGTGATATAGTATCATTATACCTAAGTCTTCTTTCGGCAACGGCAGAAATGAGACTCCACTTAGCTGCAGACTGCAGTAACCTGCATTTCTCATTTCTGCGTTCAAACCTCGCACAGAATTTCAAACGTTCTATACTCCGACTTCCGCGATTACTGAAAGTGAAGCAAAATTAATTTTTTTAGAATAAAGTAGAATTACTGTCGACATTTGATATCAACGATAAGAAAAATTTTGTTAACGTGTTAAAACATTTAATATTTCAATAATAGATGAAGATATATATACCGTCGATAAAGCAATTTAATCTAAATTATACTATTTTTCATAATTACATTCAAGTTAAGCGGTATCGAACTCCTTTAACTAGACATAACTTTAATCTGTGAAATTTTGTAAAATTTAATAAGACGAAACTTTATAGGAAATTACTTTGTGACGTCCATATGTGAGAGTTGACAATGTCGATCGCTGACTTTCGCGTGCTGTGCTGCCGAGCAGTGAGCAGTCGCAGCTGATTAGTGTGCAATCTGCAGTCGAATGTGTAGGGTGTGTCGTACGCAATCGTGACCCGCTCACCCAACTTTCGATTCCTGCGTCAAGACCGGATCATCAAGTTCATTTGAGATCAGAACCATCTCCAGAATACCAGGTACAAATATTTGTGTTTTCTACTAGATAAAAGTGGGCTTGGAAAAATTGCGACATGAATGTTGACAATTTTAGTGTACCGGTATCGTGCATATAATGTCAGGACAAACTAAGAAGCAGTGGCGGTGTGGACAAAGCTCCAGTTGCAGTTACCTCACCCTTTTTGTGATACGCCTTCGTCTTGCACTTTGTCTTGCTCTTTATCAATATACGTGGCACTAACTTCTTCTAAATCCACCTATCGTACATTTTTCTGTAGTACTACATTTGTGCAGCTATCTTACACTTTCCTGCGACAATAAGCTCTTGCACGCGATAATTTCATTTCACTTTATGTGGCACTAAGTTCTCGTACAGTTATCTTTTTTTTCTGTGACACTAGACTAAGTCCTCTTGCATTGTCATTCTATTTACTACTTGTCTTAGTCTAAGATCTTTCGTATTTTCTCTTCAGACGTTTATTTCTAGTACGGATATCTTTTCCTGTAGGATCAGCACAGGTAGAAAGTGCGATGGCAGTTCGTAACAGCACAGTTATCAGAATTAAACTTGCTTGAAGATTTGTATTGCGCTATTGCCTGCTTGAAAGAAGGACGTCAAGCAAAGTTAGGTTTACGGTTTTGCATCACCAATTGCACTTTCCCCGCGATAATCACTGCTTTTAATACTTTATTTATCCGCCCTTCAACCTAATTTTTTAAATTACTTGACCATTGATCTATCTTACAACTTGGATTGACAGATTTTTACCGCACTCAAAATAGTGTATGGGTCAAATAGTAACATTTGCTGCCCGTAGCACTGATCGATATGCTATGTTGAAGTAACTAACGTTTTCAGCATGATACCTACAAGGACCGAAATTGCATCAATATATGGTCCTAGACCCACTCATTTCTTTGAGCGCGTTTACGTGGAACGTAGATGTTTTTGGAAGGTAGCCCTGGATTCTCAAAGCTACCCGAGATGAGATGTGCTACGATAGCGGGTAATGTTTCCACGTGTACTATTGGCTTGCTTTCTTTTGTGAACTGGGCGCTGATTTGCTGACAGACGCATGACAGCGTGGCTCAAAATACCTGTTTGAGACGACGTGTAGTTATTGTTATGGGGCGCAGTTATTGTTCTTTGTTTACAGGCGCAGTTATTATATACAGGTGCAGTTATTATATACAGGTGCAGTTATTATTTACAGGTGTAGTCATTATTTACAGGCGCAATTATTATTTACAGACGCAGTTATTATTTACAGACGCAGTTATTATTTACAGACGCAGTTATTATTTACAGACGCAGTTATTATTTACAG